CATCATCTGTAACTAAATCTTCTGCAAAACATCTCAGATACAATGATACAAATGTACAGCTCACATTAAATCCCAGTGCTTTATATATGCAAAAATTTTAGGCCATTAACAAGATGTTGAATCATTATTAAAAATACCTTAAGGCTAGATTTGGTAGAAATGAGTTCTGGCTAAATATCAAAAATATTATCTTAATGCAGTTTTATTTTTGAGAGCTTGATAACTTACAACTGAAAAATCTGAACAGCAAACTGTTTTCTTTCTTTTAAATTCATCCATTTTACACAATGTAAGGTTTTTACTTTAAACGTGAATATTCTCTGTGTGGCAGAGGTTTGGTCTACGGCTGCAGGGGAGGGGTGGTGCAGCAGGCTCGAGGAGCAGTGCCAGGGAGGCTGGAAGGGCAGCTGAAACCCATCCAGTAATCATGCTCTAAATTTTTCAGTGACAGAAGAGCTGCTGCAGCTAAGGCCCACTGGCCCCTTTCTCCCCGATCTGCCTCCCCAGGTTCTGGTGGCGGTAGGCACTGCATGCGACCCACGTAGGGCCACACAGAGACAGAAGTGTTGGAGATGTGGGCGGCTGGGACACCTGTGACGGGAGTGTCCATTGAGGGAGGTGGGCTTGGCTTTCCGTATCACTGAGCCTCCAACGCTCTCTCCCAGGTCCAGGAGGAACATACAATGTTCCAGACATGGGCTGCATGAAGACCATGGTCCACCAAACCCTGGGTTAACCAACCTTGCTGGAGGTAGAATGGGTGGAGGTCAGATATGTGCATGGGGATGTTCAGAAATATGTCATAGTGCTGCTGCAGATAAAGTTTAAGGGTAAAACACATAGTGTAAAGGCTGCAGTTAGCTCATGCCTGTCTCTTAATTCTGGGGACAGATTGGCTGGGGTTTAATAACATTTTGGGACAGTGTGTGGGGGAAGCACTCAGCTTGTGCGGTGTGTAGTGTCTGTGCTGGACTCAGTGGTGACGCGGGGTGTCCAATGGTGACTCTGGGTTGGAGGAGATGGCAGGGCCTTCTCGTGAGGCCCCACCGGCTCCCATTAATCGTCACTACCATTAATGGGGGTCCCATTTGAGTGCATTGGGATGGACCTTATTGGGCAATTTCGATGGTGCACGTGGATATCACTTTGTATTAGTTCTGGTCAATTATGCATCTCTATATCTGAAGCAGTGCTGCTGTACACCATTTCTGCAAAGAGTGTAGCACAGGCACTGTTTCAGTGATCTCTTGAGTCGGCATTGTGAAAGAGATACTGACTGACCACATCGTTCATGTCTCACACACTTAAAGAACTGTACGAATTACTGGGCATTTCATCTGTTCAGACCAGTGTCTACCACCCTCAGACTGATGGAGTGACAGGTGGAGCAGCTGAATAAGTCTTTAAAATCCATGATTTGTAAGTCCATTCACAAGGATGAACCCAATCGGGATCTCTGATTAGACCCTTGTTTGCAGCATGGGAGGTGCCCCAGACTTCCACTGGGTTTTCTCTAATTTGAAATGGCCGGAAGCCACGGGGCTTATTGGACCTGATTGAAGAAAACTGGGAAGGTTATCACAAAAAAATTTGCTCCCGGTGCAGGAATGCCAGCAGTGCCTGTAGAACAGAGTGGCTAGACTCAAGCAATTTTCACCCAGAGATAAAGTGCTTGTATTACTCCCTTCTTCTAGCTCAAGGTTACTCGACAAGTGTTAAGGAGCCTCTGTGGTCACACAGCGAGTCGGTGATGTTGACTACGAGGGTGATTGTGATTACCATCTCACACAGCC